CAATCATCAGTGTAAAATGAACCCGGTGTGGGCGTGTGAGTGGTTGAAAAGTGCTGTAGTCAGTATCCTGGAAGACATTCTTTGTGATCAGTAAACAGCACAGTGCGGGCAAAACAGTGTTGGAGAAAAAGGGAGGGGGAGAAAAAGAAGTCGCAGATGAAAAATACCAACAGGGAAAAAATCACTGGGAGATCTGGTTCTATTAAATGAAACTTTAATTCTTCTTCTTCTTCTTCTTCTTCTTCTTTTCTTCTTTCTCCCCTTATTATTATTATTATTAGCCATCCATTTTCTGTACTGTTTCGCCTACATAGGGTTGCAGGTAACAGGAAGCCTGGAGTTTATGCCCAGGGGCCTCAGTGCACAAGACGGGGGATACCCTGGATATGCCAACACATTGTAGGGCACAATCGCACACACACTCACACACTACAGATAATTTGAAAATGTCAATCAGCCTACAGTGCATGTCTTTGGACTGTGCGAAGAAACCAGAGTACCTGACGGAACCCCCCGAGGCACAGGGCGAGCTTGCAAACTTCACACAGACACACAGGGCAAAGGCGAGATTCGAGCCCCCAACCTTGGAGCTTGCTAGGCAAAAGTGCTAAATACTAATCCACTGTGCCCCCTCTCATCATCATCATCATCTGTGTAAGGATAAAAGGTACAGAAAATCAATGGCTAGATGGAACATCATCTGGTGTTTACTATTAATGTGCAACAGTCCTTGTTGCCATGTTGTCCTCAAAATCCTGACTTACTTTTCGAGTCATCTGTTTTACAGGGAAAACACTAACCACAAATTATTACCTGAGGAATTCTAATGTAGCTTTTCTTTCCAGTTACACACAAAAGTTCTATGGACGGTTGCCAGATTGGGAAATTTACCTCTCTCATAGATGACTATTATTTTTTAAGCAATGCCACTACTGGGACCTTATCCCTCTCTGCTCCAGGGGTGCTGTATCCTGGATGAACCTGCGCTTCCTGGCATCCTCGGGCATGTGAAGAAAAGAATTTCACTGTGCTTTAATGCATATGTGATTAATAAAAAAAACTAATTATTTGAGGTTTGAAAGCCGAGATAGTACTGTTCTGCTCGTGCATAAAACTTGAGTGATTTCATGATTGGGGTGCCATCGAGCCTTTGCATCTCTGCATTTCACCACTTAAACATGTGTTAACCCATCTCAGGCAGCAATCTCTAAATCTTTTACAAGGTTGCTAACAATGCCTGCTCTTAAACGAGTTGAGATTTCTGTGTAATGATATAAAGGGACTTTTTGCACCCCAAAATGGTTCTTTATAACCATCAATGGTTCTTGTTAACTGCAGCTGAAACCCACTTGTTATGTAGAACACTATGAAATACAACCATTTAATCCTAAAGTATCTAACTATCCAGTAACATTTGATTAAAATTCTTTGTGTTTCATCAATAGAACACGGGAATTTGGTGGCAGAGTTCACTTAAATGTGATACGAGGCAGTTTATAAACATTTATTCTGGTTCCCCTATTCTGGTGTAATGAGTATCATTACAGTAAAAAAAAAAAAAACCTCTTTGCTCTGAAGATACAGGCTGTGAATTGTAGATTATACTGTTAAATCAGTTTAACAGCATGTGGAAAGCATTCTGAATGGATTTCTACACGGCTTACACGGCTCTTTCTGTTCTTCCTGGAAACCTACTGGAATTGGATTAGGCCTCACCTGTAATTTAGTTTTGTATAAAAGTGCTAAAAGTGCTGTGTTCCCCACAGAAACCGGATGATCATATGAAGGGAATGGGAATCAATAGGTCAGAGGTTATCTCTGGGAAACACAAGGCCAGTCTAATGTGATTATAATGACACTCATCTCATCCTCTTCTTGTCAATAGGTCAATGAACTCCATGAATGAAATTTGGATAGACTGTGAGATGGGAAATCCAAACGTGACATGCTCGAAGCCTAAAGAACCATGTTCATTCCTTTGATGGGATTTTTTTGGTCATGTTTATTCACTACTTAGTGACGGATAGTCCATTGTGCCAGGTATATTCTTGTTTTTATACCAACAAAATGACTATTATAGAAAGAGATTGTTCCAGAACATGATTGATGCCAAGCCACTGTGCGTTTTTATCAACGGAACTGTACTCTTAGACCAGCGTGGCGATGAATTCTCGATTATGATTGTTAAGAAGGTGTTGATTTATTTACTAACAGCAAGTATGACTGTAGGTACAACTGTTATTCAAATCGCAGGTTGATTAATGAATGTGCTCAGTCAAATACCTTATTGTTTCTATAGTAACAACGTACACAAGGATATGTATGATGGATACAAAATTTAATTGTACCAGGATTTATTTTTTGCTAGCTTTTCTTTAACAAGAATATTTGCTGGTAAAGGCATATTTGCTTGTGATAATGGATAATTGGTACATACACAAATATATGGAATTCTTATATAAATAAGGAATTAAAAATTTGGGGACGTACTGTTATAGGAAAATAATCAATGATGAGATGGTGTGAGGTGGCTGACATTAAGCAGGGTTATAAAGTTGATTATTTTTCCATTAATAGAGGATTAATTTATGTCCTGAAATGTTTTGTTCCTTTTATACCACGGCAATTAAACCAAATACTACAACTGTTTACTAATTAAAGAATATGTTGTACTGTTTAAAAAGTTACTTTTAATTTTCCAATTGAGTTAGTTCCTATTATCACTTACATTACATCACTTACAGCTATAAACAGTCGTGCCAATTACGTTCTTTTCTTCACATGAACTTTGTTGATGGAAAAAACTTTTTTAGGCTTCACAGGCTTGTTTTTTCAAGAGGGACTAGGATCCCTAAATAAACGTGTGACTGAAACGTACATATGAAAGAAAGTAAGGTCACGTGAAGGAGGATGTGAACGTGCAGAATGACATCACAACTCAGACGAAGTGATTCGTTGTGAGAAGATCAAACACATAAATATAACCTAACCATTTAACTGAAATAGTTCCTAATGTACTTCAAAGAGAACGTTATCGGTATTCGAACAGATTTAATACTGTTGTCTGTTCTGGTTAATAATAAATGTGTGTAATATGGAGCGCTTGACATTGTTTTGATGAGAGTGTGCTCAATTGAGAGGTGCTCAGAATGTTTAGAGGACACCGATACACTCGATATAATCGTACTCGCTGACTCTGCACGCAGGCCTGCTGATAATGAAGAGTCATTTAGGCGGCCATTTAGACTTGGCTCGGCCCCGCTGGGGAGCATTAGCTTCAGGGGAAGAAAGATCCATTCAGATCGACACACACACACAGTCTCATAAACCTCTGGCTCTTCTTCACACACAGCACGATGAGTCATATGGTAGAGATCGGATTGCCGGATCTACAGGCCACAGCTCGGGCTACAAATCATCGTCCTTTCTTTGAATCGCTGTGGCCTGACACTCTTCGTTTATTGCACTTTCATCTCTTTTTGATCGACGGAAGAGATGCAGATTGAGTTGGCCCATGGATGTAAAATCAGAAAACTGTGGTCAGAGGGGCTTATAATGTAGTATTGAACTGCTGGGGTTCGGAGAAGAGTTAGAGGCGGGGTGCCTATGTATCAATTACCATCTGCACAGCAAACGCACACTGATATAAAACATGCACGTGGAAGTATGTGTGCGTTTATGTGTACATATGAGTGTGAGGGTTTACTCTACTTGTATTACCCTGTGAGTCATATTTGCGTATGTACAGAATTTAATTTGTGCCAAAAGTATTGAATGTAACTCTTCAATAAACGAACAACAATATACAATGGGAGAAGAAGAACTACGGTGGCCGAGAAGTGCAAAACAAATCACAAATCTGTAAACAAAACAACAAATTATAAACACACGGATAAATGAGACACTGAGAATTCGGACAAAACGGAAAAGGTAGGGATATTTTGCGGAAGGATTACTTAGTGCTGATTGGACGACAGATCTGTCAATCAAGATATGCAAGAAATACAGCAGGCTGTACAGATTGGTCTCCTGGAGTGATACATACGTCAATTCCTTTGAGAAAAAAACAAAAACAAAAATTTAACATGGTCTTCAGACAAACAGCATTCTTTGTTAAAAATTGTCCAAGCTTTGTTTTCACTAATCATGCTTTTTGAATGCGCTGCCAGAGTTTTCGTTTATGCTCCGTAACTTTATTTTCGCCATTCTGGCACAAACCTCTCGTGTGGGCGGAGCTTAACAGAGATTTACTCTGATTAGCTAGTGAGATTTTAGTGAGATCTTAACCTGAACCTTAATAAATTAAACTGACATAACCATGTCATTAACATCATACATGACTTGCCATGACACTTCACTGTATGTCCAGTGATGTTAGCAATATTTGTTACTGTAGATACAGTTTGATGTCATGGCAGATTTCTGCTGTCTGCTCTAATTAGCTGTTTATGACGTCATAACACATTTTTCAAGTCAAGTCAAGTGGGTTTATATTGTCATTCCTCTATATAGCGTGTATACATTGGAAAGGAATTTCATTTCTCCAGGACCATGGCGCAACACAGAAAAGAATGCAAGATTACATAAAGATAGTAACTTTTAAGGTAAAGCGAGGATGTAGTATAAGGAATGAAACACAATGGAGTGAGATGCTGCAATGCAGCACAGTATGAAGTCATTCTTACTACCACCAAAGTTGTCTAATTTCCCACAAACTGTTTTGTTGATCTTATATTGCAGCAATTAACCATCCATTAATCCATGCTCTATACCACTTATCCTACACAGGGAAACCCTGGAGCCTATCCCAGGGAACTCTGGGCACAAGGGACAGGGTCCCAACCCATCGCAGGGAACAATCGACACACATTCAAACAGTACAGACAATTCGGAAACGCCAATCAGTCTACAGCGCATGCCTTTGGACTGGAGGAGGAAACCGGAGTATCCAAAGGAAAACCCCCGAAGCATGCAAGCTTCATGCAAACTTCATGCACATGGGGCAGAGGCGGGATTCGATCCCCCAACCCCAGAGGTGCGATTCAAATGTGCTCTACACTAAGCCACCGTGCCTCCCACAATGAACCAATGATTACACTTGATTATACTTTTTATCCATTTATAGTTACATTTATCCATTTATGGTTACATTAAATGTTTTGTTACTTCCTGATGGCACCTGTGAGTGTGTGAGTGTGTGTGTGTGTGCGTATAATAAGGCCTCCTAACAAAACTTTCTCCTTATTTCAGTTGAATTATATTCATGAGCCGTAGATACAGCACCTTTTCTTCACCTGAGCGTTATTATGTGGACAAAAACCTCAACATTTACAGGAAAAGAGCTCCACTTATTTTGTTCCCATTATATCAAAAATATTCTTACGCAACATCATAGCATCAGAAGCTTTTGAGGATCAGCTCTGCTTCAAAGCTCCAGCTCTTTTCTAACGCATTTCGTTTTAGACACTCTCATAATTAATATCTATTCTGAAACCCGGGCATTAGCATGCAGCCAAGAAATCATCCCCTTTAATCTTTGCCAGTAACTGCGAGGACCCTTTTATGCTTCTTTTCCTCTATGTGTCTGTCTGCTTTTCTGGTATTGCTAAAGACTTTGAAGCACGCTGCTGTTCTGAGCATTTAATAGCACAGATTTGTCTGTACTCGGGTTTGTTGTTGTTAAAGTGGACAGAGACGCTGAAGGATCAAGGCGAGGAGTTTGTTTTAAGTGCAGCTGGAATGATGTGCGAGGTGAAAATCTTCCCCGGTTCCCTGTCTCTTGTGCCGCAAGTCATGTTCGAATGCAGATGTTTTGTTCTTCAAAGCAGCATGTCTATGAGTGTGTGCACACATAATGTGGTCTTGATGGAGCTATGCTGCTGTTATTATCCCTCATGGTGCTTTTTGACTACAGAGAATCATAAAGCCAGCATGTTGCAGGTCCAGGAGTAGGGAAGGATTGTACTCTTCTCCCTGCTGTATATTTGATTTACGCATACCCACGCCCTCTTAGTGCATGTTAAGTGCATAGTTGACTGAAATTGAAACATATCCACATGCTCAATTCTCCCTCCTCCACCTTGCAGTGTTTTAAATAATGCATTTGCTCACCCAGGAGAGCTGTATTGATGCCTGATTTAGCCTAGAGGGTTGAAAGGTCTCTCTCTTGCTCTCTCTCTCTCTCTCTCTCTCTCTCTCTCTCTCTCTCAGTGTGTATGTGTGTGTGTGTGTGCCAGTATTTATACATCAACACAATTTATGCATATAATAAGAAAAAGGAAATGTGTATGTTTTGAAAATGTTGAATGCAGCACATAGTAAATCAATTCTGGAGGTTTTTCATGCCTCCCATTTGATGTCAGCTTTTTTACACTAATAGTGTGAGGGAATCTGAGACTTTGTGCTCCAGGAATGTATTAGCTGGTCACACACCAGTCCATCCGCAGTGGCAGGAAGGACGTACTTGATAACACATCTTCTATTCTCTACTTGGGACCTTGTACTCTCTCTCTCTCTCTCTCTCTCTCTCTCTCTCTCTCTCTCTCTGTGTGTGTGTGCTTACATATCTTGTTGGGGATCAAATCTCACTCTCCACAAGTATAGGAATATGTCACACTTCGCTGTGGGGATTCATTATAATCCCCACAAGGATGCGAATATCTGACAGTTTTGTAAATGTTTGTTTGTTTATGAAAGCTAAACCTTTTAAGGTGGGTTTTGTGATGAAGACCAGCCAAATGTCGCCACAGGGATAACAAAATCTCACATATTTTATTGTGGGGACATTCGGCTGGTCCCCACAAAGATTTGTAAACAAACACACAAACAGTCAAAAGGTTTAATTTTGGTCACTGTGTGTGTGTGTGTGTGCCTTTCTAACATGTATTACAGCCTTCACTGACAGCATCTACTTGAAACCTTTCCTGATCATGAACAAAATAAATAAATAAAAATAATGGCACAAGGCTTGGGATGAGTCAGTTCTAGATACTGACAGAGAGTCAGCACCTTTTGATCATGATAGATACTGATTTCACATAGATAATGATTTTACACCGTACCATATACAGGTCAGTATATATATATATACACCCCCCACTGTTGTCTGTGGTAAGCTCAGCGGGGTTTTAAATCTGCATTTTAGTTTCTGTAAAATGTTTGCCATATTGTGCATAAGCCGTACGTTTATCTGTCCTTGGAACCATTGAAAAGCTATCAGCATTGACCATTGTTATGGAAATACCGGAAAATGGACTAGAGACTACGATTCCCATCAGCCACTGCACCTCACCTGACCATGACACATCACTGTTCACCTATATGAGCCTCACTCCTGTTTCAAGTAATTTCTCAGTTTTCCTAGTGTTCTGTCATTACCAAACTGTTGTCATTGTGTATTACGTGCTGGTTTTGATCTTTGCCCTTGCCTATATTTCTGATTATTGTCTTTGCCTCTGATTCTCTATTTGTTGATCGCTCGACCCTGGACTGGTTATTCACGCTGGTTATTGCCTTTTGTTTTGGATTTGTCTGTGTTCCTAATAAACCCGCGCCGAATCTGTCATAACAACCATAATCCATAAGTTGGTTTCTAGCAGCCTTGGACCAAACACCTTTATTTTGTCTGGTAGACACCTGAAAACAGATAAGCAATTTAGTCGAATCACAACTGAACTTATTTGTTTTCAGGTTGTGGGTTATCGTTCATCTGACCTCGTGTACTCCTTATTAAGAATATCAACCCAAGTGAAATGCTTCCATCACCAGCTCGTTCGTTGGTTCAGTCACAAGAAGCAACAAAATACAAGAAGCAAGATGGAGACAAGGCTGAATTACATGTTTAGGAAGTGAAGGAGCGAGTGATTTTACTCTCCAGCACTGTAATGACTCTTTTTGCTTTTATGCGCTGCAATATGGATGGACTTGGCAGTGAAGGGAGGGAACGACAGGCTAGAGAAAATGTATGTTGTCGCGGCTTCTTGTCACTGTCAACTCTAATGAAAAATGGATATGAATCCAACACACACACACGCACACACACGCACCACCAGCCTTCATTAGACTCCAGCACTCTGTCCTGTGTAAGGAAGATTCGGGTAGAGAACCAAAAGTGCGGCCACTGAGGCGTGTTTGTATACACAAGGGAAGCACAGCTCATCTCATCTGTGTGCTCAGTCAGGTAGAGAGATGTAAGTGTGTGTGTGTGTGTGTGTGTGTGTGTGTGTGTGTGTGTGTGTGTGTGTGTGTGTGTTTTTCTTTCTTGAATTGCCTCCTCTGCTATTTTCCTATGCTAATAACAGGAAAAGAAGGAGATGGAGTTGGAGGAGGAGTGGAGGGGGGTATGAGGAGAACACCAGCAGCCAATAAAATGATGTCTGAAACTAACCTGTTTTGCATGATTCATTCTCTGATATCTGTCACATCTTCGCCGTTGTGCCATCTTATGAATCGGGGTTTAGATCACAAAATACACAATCCACAGCTAGAAATGAATCTCTGAGATAATGTACAGTCCACAGCCTCTAAAGCTGCATCTACATGTTTCCATCTAAACATCGACACTAAGCCGTTTCATTAATTATGCATGTATTAGGGATATTTGAAGGCCATGTGTAATGAAAACATTTATAACATGTAATAATGCATTCATGAGGTATCATGTTGTTGTTGTTTTTATTTTTTCAAAAGGCACTACAGTTCATAACGCAATAATAAAAGGTTATCAGAATGCATTATAAGTCATGGTTATAACACACAATTACCTAAATCAAGGTGAAGGCATTCTAGGTGAGTGTAGGTTATAAACAGACATATTATTATAATAGCTTGTTTTTATGAAGTTGTATTTGTCAGCTGTAAAGTGACACATTTTAAACAGAAACATTTATTAAAATCAATGATTGATCAATGATAATGATTTATCCATAACTACTTTGCAGTTACTGTGTGTATATATATATATATATATATATATATATATATATATATATATATATAGAGAGAGAGAGAGAGAGAGAGAGAGAGAGAGAGAGAGATAAAGCACTGACTTCACAAATGTTATTGTAAAGTACTGTAGTATGTGTGAAAGTTGTAAAGGTTGGTAGCTTGCTATAACATTGTAAAGATTTGTAATATGTTGTAAAATTTAGCAATTTGTTGTAAAATGGTGAAGTTTTGAAGTATTTGTAAAGTTATATTTTTCAGTTTTCAGCAAAGTGACTGCTTTTTAACAGATTAAGACATTAAATCGATGCGATTTCTAATGATTTAACTCTCACAGTTTTGTCAAGGCCAAATCTATACTGGAGTTATGCATGTTTGTAGTTTGAAGTAGTAAAGTTTTGTAGAATGTATGAATGTTTGTTTGTTGTAAAGTTTTGTACTATGTTGCAAGGTTTTGTAGTAGTATTTCCTGATGATCACTCTGGTATAATTCATTTATTAAAGAAAAAACAAACAAACAAACAAACAAACAAACATACATCAAGGCCAGTCTTTTATGGTCATACTACAGTATGTAAAGTTATTGGTGACATAATGTGTAATGCACATGAACAGACCATGCTGATGGTGCTACCATTTCCAACACCCCCTCCCTAAAAAAAATACAAAAAATGAATAAATTAGAGTCAGGTTCAGACCACAGCCACTTCATGGTTTAACTCCAAATACAGACGCAGTTATTTGTAGCACTAAAGAGAAAGAGTTACAGACATCTGGAGCAGATAGTGTCAATGCATTACATCCCTAGTAATTAAATATTATGAGGAGCAAAGTGATCATAAGAACATCAGACAAGAGGAAACTGAAACACACATTTGCTCTGTTGTCATTTAGGACAAAAAACAAACAAACAAACAAACACGTCAATTACCGTTTAATCTTTTCTTTATCCATATGTTACTATGTATATATTTATATATTTAGGTATATATGTATATATTTTCATATTTCAAAATGTATTTGATTTACTGGATTGTGTTCCTATTCAATATTTCATATGCACGAATACAAAATTTACATAATAACCAGTGGATGGACGCCCAGCTTATGTACCCGGTGTATAATCCCAA